AGATGATTGACAGGCCAGTTTACAGTGACAGGGTGCGTGTATCTATGCGACAGAGCGTCCGTTAAAGACGCAGTTGTGTGACGTGTTAGTATGTCCCAAAGCTTGCCTATTCTTCTACTGCACACTCAAAAGTGTGTACTTTTTCTTCACCAAAAGAGTACATACTTTAAGGGCGTAGTATAAGTAGGCACATTGAGACGCAGCACAGATGATTAATACAGCCATGCCCTTGCCACAAAATTTAACACACTGGATAGAGACCAACCTTGCTGTCACGCACGATGTGGTATCTAAGATACTCAGCTAGCTGATCACGGTTATGCATCGCATACAGGTAGTCTTTTTGCTCTTGGGCCAGGGCGGCCATTGCAGCATCCGTGGGCAGGAACAGGGTGACAGGCTGATTAATTGGATCCATCACCAACTTCAACGTATCTGTGTCCTTCAAACAAACAAGGTAATATAAGATTTGGATTTTATTAGAAAATAGAGGGTTCCTCTAAAAAATAACACTTTAAATTTTATATAATAAAAGAAAAAAGGCACAAAAAATCTGAACCCTAGACACTTTTTTTGTGGAGAGAATTTTATTAGAAAAAAAAGAAAACAAAAACAACAACATATTTTTGCTTATTTTACCTCTAGAAGCTTGTAGAATGTCTTGAAGCCATGGAAACTGACCACATCTGAGAGATTACGCTTTCAGAAAAAAAGGACAATGACAAACAAAATAAAAAATCTATCAGTGTAATTTCATAATTTCATGCTTTATTATTACTCTTGACATTATAAAATAAAGAATACTGTCAGAATAATCATGTGGGGACATACTGGTGTGCTGTCTTGTTCTCTGTCTTTCTGAATCTGAAAACCAGGGGGCACTAGAACAGTGTCAATCTCATGGAAAATCCCATTGCTACTTTCCAGATCACTGAACACCACTTTGGCTTTGTTATTGATGTATATAGTATCCTAGAAACAAATAATGAGTGTTTCAATAATATGCATAATATGTATCTTATGCAGTCATCATACTGAGTTGTGATAATGTTATCTTTGCATCAGGCACACTGTACCTCAGAGTATGTAATGGTGAGGATGTCACCAGTAAGTGTGGTCAGGTAACGAGGCTGCATGAGGTCTTCTGGGAGGAGGGCACGGCAGGCCACAATGTGGTACCTCAGGATTTTGATTTCCATACGAGTCCGTTTTACAATGTCCTTAACCTAAACAAAAGCAGTGCCAATAACAAAACCTGCTATCACATCACAGTTTTCTCTTACTATTCATCATACTCATTAAGAGGCAGAGTAGATGTAGAGTAGTAGATGTAGACATGTAGATCAAAGGCCATTTGGGTGAATCACATAAAACCTGTTGAAAACATGTCCAAGTCATATTTTAGCTTATATTCTGATTCTGATTCATGACAATGAACCATATTTTCTTACTAAATACTCATTACCATAATGCATCCCGCTTTCGAGTTTGTAATTTTCCTTTTCAATTCTTGAGTTTATCTTAGTGACAATATCATTAGGACATACTTTTGTGTTTATTTCATGACTTCAAGTTCAGTCACATGGTACAAGGACTGGATGGATAATCTTCTAGCCAGTCATGGCGCAAGCTGATAGGTCCTCTACTTGTAATTTGTCAACCAATCATATTGCATACTATGCAAACGAGCTAATAGGCATGTAATTTGTCAGCCAATGAGTTTGCATGCATCATATACGCTAACATTTAAATAGCCAGCTTTAGGCAGTTGGCCGGTTTAGTCAGTTGCTGTAAGAGTTAGCGGTTTTCTTGCTTCTGGTCACCTTGGGGTGAGTATATATATATATATATATATATATATTTATTTATTTATTTAAAATGTTGAATCCCTCACTCAAGTGTAGATATTTTTCCTACTGTTTTGCAGGAGGTAATTTTTCCTTATCTGTATCAGCTTGCTTTGTGATATTCTGCAATGGTAAGTTTTGGTCTTCATGGTATAATTGTTTCTAACAAGATAAGCCTTAGCCAAATTGGCTCAGGGACATGTGGTTCTAAAACCACATTATGTTCGTTCTTCTGTAGAACAAAATATTGAGATTTTGGCTCTTCTCCATACAATGGAACTCAAAGCTCCAGTGTTGCTTGGATCCCAACAAGTATCATTTGTGTTCTGCAGAAGAAAGACATACGGATTTAAAATCACTTGAAGTTGAGTAGTTTTTTTTTTGGAGGAGGGGGGTCTGAACTATACCTTTTAAATCACCAAACTCTAGATCAGGGGTGCCCAAACTCTGTCCTAGAGGGCCGGTGTCCTGCAGAGTTTAGCTCCAACTTGCCTCAACACACCTGCCGGGAAGTTTCTAGCATGCCGAGTAAGAGCTTGATTAGCTGATTCAGGTGTGTTTGATTAAGGTTGGAGCTAAACTCTGCAAGACACGGCCCTCCAGGACAGAGTTTGGACACCCCTGCTCTAGATATTCAATCTACTTGGCCATGCGGCAAGACTCCTAGCAAATTGATCCATTTGAGTTGTATAGCATAGTTTTGTTCAATGTAATGCCATATCTTACGGTTTTAATAGTAGAATATATCAAGGTGTCTTAACAGTTTGTGGTGTTTGTGAAAACTGTGAAAATCCCTTTCTAAATTGATTATTCCTAAAATGTGGTCTGTTAAACTCCGAATTGGCCAAATGCAGTCTGGCTAAGCTAGTAATACCCACAACATTTTTATTGATTTGGTTTTCACTGTGCTGAGTGGAGAAAGTAATGCATGTGCAATCTTGCTTCTGGAGAGCCAATTCACAATGTACAATCATACCATCACACAATGGCTACGTTTACATGCACAATTTTTGGTACAATCGGACTGAATTCATTCCGACTGATGTATCTGAATGTAGGGTTTACATGAACGCTAAATAAAGTGATCGGGTTGATGTGATGTCACAAGCTTCAAATCGGAATAGATTTTTTTTTTTTTACATGCGCTCACTGCACAAATATAGAGTTTCTCACTGTTTTTTATTTATTTATTTAAAATGTTGAATCCCTCACTCAAGTGTAGATATTTTTCCTACTGTTTTGCAGGAGGTAATTTTTCCTTATCTGTATCAGCTTGCTTTGTGATATTCTGCAATGGTAAGTTTTGGTCTTCATGGTATAATTGTTTCTAACAAGATAAGCCTTAGCCAAATTGGCTCAGGGACATGTGGTTCTAAAACCACATTATGTTCGTTCTTCTGTAGAACAAAATATTGAGATTTTGGCTCTTCTCCATACAATGGAACTCAAAGCTCCAGTGTTGCTTGGATCCCAACAAGTATCATTTGTGTTCTGCAGAAGAAAGACATACGGATTTAAAATCACTTGAAGTTGAGTAGTTTTTTTTTTGGAGGAGGGGGGTCTGAACTATACCTTTTAAATCACCAAACTCTAGATCAGGGGTGCCCAAACTCTGTCCTAGAGGGCCGGTGTCCTGCAGAGTTTAGCTCCAACTTGCCTCAACACACCTGCCGGGAAGTTTCTAGCATGCCGAGTAAGAGCTTGATTAGCTGATTCAGGTGTGTTTGATTAAGGTTGGAGCTAAACTCTGCAAGACACGGCCCTCCAGGACAGAGTTTGGACACCCCTGCTCTAGATATTCAATCTACTTGGCCATGCGGCAAGACTCCTAGCAAATTGATCCATTTGAGTTGTATAGCATAGTTTTGTTCAATGTAATGCCATATCTTACGGTTTTAATAGTAGAATATATCAAGGTGTCTTAACAGTTTGTGGTGTTTGTGAAAACTGTGAAAATCCCTTTCTAAATTGATTATTCCTAAAATGTGGTCTGTTAAACTCCGAATTGGCCAAATGCAGTCTGGCTAAGCTAGTAATACCCACAACATTTTTATTGATTTGGTTTTCACTGTGCTGAGTGGAGAAAGTAATGCATGTGCAATCTTGCTTCTGGAGAGCCAATTCACAATGTACAATCATACCATCACACAATGGCTACGTTTACATGCACAATTTTTGGTACAATCGGACTGAATTCATTCCGACTGATGTATCTGAATGTAGGGTTTACATGAACGCTAAATAAAGTGATCGGGTTGATGTGATGTCACAAGCTTCAAATCGGAATAGATTTTTTTTTTTTTACATGCGCACTGCACAAATATATGTTTTACAGTTTCTCACTGTTTGCACATAACCACTCTCCTACACTGTTTCTTTGTTTTTAACAGCAGATTTGATATTTATCCATTTATGGATTAATATACATATAAACCGCTGTGCAGTGCTGCTCATATTTATCATGCAGTAAAAATGCCCCTCCCCGCGCCCAAACCGGTTTGCCTGTGGATGATAATCCAAAACAAGGACTGGTGGGAGGTTGTCCTGCTCCACTTCACAGTTGCCGAGTGAAAGGAGCATTTTATAATGACAGGACATGCATTTATACAACACTTTATTCAAAAGGAAGAGCTGTTCCACGGGTCATACGTCATTATGCTATTTCTGCATCATTGCACATGCGCAGTCCTTTCAGTTTCGGGGTTCAATCCGATCGAGTGTTTACATGCACTCTCAAAAGGAATAAACCACCCCCTTCAATCCGATCGAAACATTCCGATCGAGCTCAATTGGATCGATTAAGGTGTTTACATGAAGGCTTTTCAGTCCGGTTGAGCCGTCAATCCGATTACAAACGGATTATTTGGTTGCATGTAAACGTAGCCAGTGACTCTTGGGAGCTATGCTGGTGGGGGCCAAGCCCCTTGTAGGTTCAACCAAGCCGGCCAGTTCCTAGGGTAGAAGCCAGACCAAAGGCAACTGTTCCTCCAGGCTGAGGGTTGGGCATGGGGCTAACAACCCCATCCCATAAAATCTATATTGGTGCAGAAACATCAACGATTGTCCGAACAACCAATTGGATTGAGCCAACTAACTGGCAGTATAACTACTCCTGATGAAAGTCACCAACAGGAAGTCAGGAGTATGAAAGATAGTCTACTAGGGTCCAAAACTAGTATCCGTGTTGGAGCATGGAATGTCTGCACTATGTCTGAAACATCGAAATCAGCTTAAGTTAGAAAAGAGACAAGGAAATAGAGACTGGACATCCTAGGTGTCAGTGAATGCCGATGGGCAGGATCCGGACGGCAAGTAACCAGCAACGGCTATGTTATACTTTACGCTGGACATGATGGCAGACATGAAAACTGTCTAGCCCTTATAATCACAAAAGAGAAGGTTAACACCTTGCTAGAAGGGGAACCTCTAGACGCTTCAACTCCAAACACTGTATACCAACCATCATCCAGTGTGATGCACCAACAAATGATGCAGAGGAAGAGGCCAAAATGACTGGTATGGGAAACTACAGCAAACAGTCTCTAAGGTCCCTCAACATGACATGCTCTTGACCATGGGAGATATGAATGCAAAGGTTGGGGCTGAAAATGCAGAGAGAAAAAGAGCTATGGATCAACATAGATGTGGAGTGATGAATCCTGCTCCACTTCACAGTTGCCGAGTGAAAGGAGCATTTTATAATGACAGGACATGCATTTATACAACACTTTATTCAAAAGGAAGAGCTGTTCCACGGGTCATACGTCATTATGCTATTTCTGCATCATTGCACATGCGCAGTCCTTTCAGTTTCGGGGTTCAACCGGATCAAGTGTTTACATGCACTCTCAATCGTATTTGAAAAGGAATAAACCACCCCCTTCAATCCGATCGCGCTCAATCGGATCGATTAAGGTGTTTACATGAAGGCTTTTCAGTCCGGTTGAGCCGTCAATCCGATTACAAACGGATTATTTGGTTGCATGTAAAAGCAGCCAGTGTCCTGCAGAGTTTAGCTCTGGCCTGCCACCACACATTTAAGTTTCTAGAAGACATTGATTAGCTGGTTAAGGTGTTTAAATGGGTTTGAAGCTAAACTCTGCAGGACTGTGGCCCTCCAGCAGCATGATTGGACACCCATTACTCTCCACCCAGCATTTTATCCAATCACACTGCTGCCTATGTACCTTCACAAGCGGGTTCATGCCTCAACTTTTCATTGGTAGCCATCTTTGATGCTTGAAAGTCTGGTAACTCATTTTATTTAATTTCAAAATGTCTTTTGCCAAGTTTGTCAGTTACTAAACCGTTGAGGTTCATTTGGCACAGTATGTGGAATGCGGCTAGCAATCTTGCCTCATGTATTTCCATACAAGGCGGTGCAATTCACTCCAATGCAGCAATACCCACTAATAGTGCAGGGCAACTTCGGTCCTGGAGGGCCACTGTCCTGCAGAGTTTAGCTCCAACCCCAATCAAACACACCTGCCTGTAGCTTTCTAGTGATCTTGAAGACATTGATTAGCTTGTTCAGGTGCGTTTGATTAGGGTTGGAGCTCAAATCTGCAAGACAGTGGCCCTTCAGGACCGAAGCTGCCCAGCCCTGTGCTAGTGGGAACTAATTTTTAAAGGGGTCATATGATGCAATTTCATTTTTTCCTTTCTCTTTGGAGTGTTACAAGCTCTTGGTGCATAAAGAAGATCTGTAAAGTTGCAAAGGTTTTTTTTAACTTTAAACCGCATAAACACATTTCATTACACCAAATACACAAAATAATGTTCTTTTTAGCAGCATCATATGACCCCTTTAAAGTGTTATGTGTTTCTTTGTTTGCTGATGAGCTGTGCTACCTTCTGTCTCTCTCCGTCTCTCTCCCATTGAAAATAAACTGAGAACTTAAAGTTACCAGGTACGGTGTAAAATGCCCTTAAAAGTTAAAACAACACTTGGGTTATTCTTGGCTTTCTAGTTAATGTTATTTGGTATGTATACTTTTTTTGGTTTTTTTGCATTCTTGCAGCTTTGAATGAACGACACCTGCAAAACATTTGAGGCAGTTGTTGATGACCAGAACCTATGCAAGAAACTCCATCTCATGCTCCGTTAAACTTTAATGTTATTGTAGCAGTAATAAGCAGTTTTTTTTTTTTGTTTGTTTTTTTTGTGAATGCAGTTTTAAGAGTGTAGCAATGCAAGTCTTCAATTCAATTAAAGTACTGCTGTTGTGATTTAAGTCACAATTTTGCTCATTGACCACATTTGAGTCTTACCTCTGGTTTGTTGTAAGCATCTGCATTGGGTGCAAAGACTGTGAAGGGGCCACGATTTCCAAGTTCAGGAATATTATTTCTCTGTAAATTC